TAAAAAACATTTTAATAGCTATGGAAACAAACTTTGTTCTCTAATCTAAATTTATCCCTGTAAAATTTAAGTTAAAAATTAAAAAAAAAAAATGCCTAATGATACCTAAAATGAAAAGGCAATTTTTTCAACATTCAATCTTTAAAAGACGATAAAAATTTGTTTGGAGTTAAAAACCACATAGTCATCAGATAACAAAATTTTACCGTACCATCCTTCAGAGCCCGGGTGGCGATGGTAGTCTGCAAAACCTCTAACCAGCAAGACTAGGCCACTGTATTGAGTTATATTCTTCCAAGCAGGCCTAAAATAGGCACTCCTGATTTCACTCTCTGACTAGGATAACAATTTAAAGCTTACGTTCTGAAAACAACATTTAGCTATGATGTAGCAAAACACTATGCCCTTGCTCTAAAAATAAATCTGTGGACTGCAAAGAATGAAGTACTACCTAGATCTCAGCACTGCAAAGTGACCTTAGAATACAATGCTTCCTATGAGCTTAAAGTTATTTCTTACATTCTTCCCTTTATTATACCACATCACCCAGACTAAACTGAATTATAGAAATAATCAGAAAAGCTCTGCTTCAGATTTTTTTTTTTTTTAAGCTAAATCTGTTCTCAGATTTCAGTAGGAAATTCCACAAAGAAGAGTCACAAATTCCAGGCCATCCAATATAGCACTCGGTGATACATGGAATGTGTTGTTGGTAAGATATACCCTACACAACCCAGAAGTTAGGATATACACTCCTCCCTAATTTTCAAGTTTCCTTTAACCACAATTTGGGAGGCTGCCTGTCATAATTTATCTGCACCATTCTTGAATGTGTATTTTCATTCTGCAACACCTTTTGGGGGCAGTAAATACCATTATCGAAACTACATAGGGTTGTCATTTTTCCCTCTATTCTAAATGTACTTTTAAAAACTACAAAGAGTCACAGTGTGTATCATTCCTCCATTTCTTAACTGTACTCCAGGACTTGGGGTGAGTGGCAGAGACCCAATGACGGGCACAGAATTACCAGTCCACCTCTCTTTAATATTTTAGGCATGCCATGTCTTTGCAAACCAAAGCATGTCTTTAAAAATAGTCTGTTTTGTTTGACAACATTGTCTTCCCCTCATGAGGCAGGAATGTCAGTTATTTTAAGAACAAAGAAACTGATGAGAATTATAGGTCAAATGGTTGGCACATTTTTTAATCTATAAAACCTCATAATATTAAATTTGGTGGGAGGGGTGCCGGGGTGGCTCAGATGGCTGAGCGTCTGCCTTCAGCTCAGGTCATGGTCCCGGGGTCCTGGGATCGGGCCCCTTATCGGGCTCTTGGCTTGGTGGGGAGCCTGCTTCTCCCTCTCCCTCTGCCTCTCCCCCTGCTCATGCTCTCTCTCTCTCTGTATCTCTGTGTCTCAAATGAATAAATAAAAAATCTTTAAAACAAAAATTTGGTGGGAGTCCTCTAAGTACCTTTTTAAAATGCTTAGTTTGTGCTATAAAGTTATAGATAAATATATGTATTTGAATTTTAAAGTATTTCCCATTAGTCTTTCTTTTAATCATGCATTATTTAAATCTCTATTCATTGTAAAATAGTTTGTAAAAGTTATAAAGTCTTTTTTTTTTGGTCAGCACGGACAATGTCTCAAAGAATTTTCCTTTAGCTCAAGCAATACTTAATCATCAATCTTTAATATCATTTAATTACACCAATGTATATCAAATGTCACTAGTGTTAAGCACTATTTAAGAATTAAGAAATGTAAGGCAAGTGTCCTATCTTCAAGAAGCTTGAAGTTGGGGAAGCAACTATAAAGAAATGAAATGATTGGTTAATCTTATGAAATGTTAGTTTTCATTCCTGAAGACTCTCAAGTTAAAACAATGTGTGACAATAATGAAAAATAAAGGTGGTACATGATCTATCAAATACTGTGAGTTGAGAAAGATTTTTTCTAAAGGATTGAGGAGGTGGGGAAAGACCTTGAAAAACCCTGCAAGACATCCTTAGAATTAAGAGATTCAGATATTAATTTTAATTCTAACAAATTAAGGTAGTTAATTCTACCAAAACTGGTAGTATAATGTTAGGCAAGTTACTACCTGGGCCTTTATTTTTTCAAGGAGGTTGTGTTCTTGTCTATGAGTTTATCTCCCAGCAGAAACTGGGAGCCTTCCAGCAATAGGTAGTTCAGCTTCACAGTAAGTTGTTCTAAAATAAGGAAAGTGTGGGGTTTTTTCCCTATCAAACTAAACGTATGGGTGGAGGGGTGCCTGGGTGGCTCAGTAGGTTAAGCACCTGCCTTTGGCTCAGGTCATGATCCCAGGGTCCTGGGACTGAGTTCCGCATCAGGCTCCCTGCTCAGTGGAGAGCCTGCTTCTCCCTCTGCGCCTCCCCCTCATACCCCTCATGTGCATGCATGAGCACTCTCTCTCTCTCTCTCTCACTTGCTATATCTCAAATAAACAAATAAAATCTTTAAAAAATAAAAATAAAAAAAATAAAAGTATGGGTGGAATAAACACTGATGTAGAGGGAACCAAATCAGGGACAGTGCTATGATCCCAAAGAGCAGATCACTTATGATATTGTCACTGTCCTCCTTTCTATATGATTCTAATTTGTTATCCACTTTTACTTTCCCCAAACAAGTGAGACGTGTAACTCTCCTCATGTTAGAAATCTTCCGCAAATGCACAACTCCCACAGAAGTTTAGAAATTAGGGTAAAAAACATTGAAAATATTTCATACATCAATGTAAGTATTCTTTATATAGAATGGGAAGATGTAGGCATCTGAGATTTTTAAGTTACGAGTATTCTCACTCATTCTAAGTTATAGCCTGGAGTCTATTTTTGAAGCAGTTAATGAAAGATCTCTGGCGTGAAGGCATATTTGTTGTATGAAACTTTAAAGCAGGGAAACTTGCAGTGCAGGCATCTATGAAATATGAAAGGATTTCAGATGCACAAGAAAGTGAATGAAACAGAGCCAGTGGTGGTCAAGAAGATTCAGTTTACAGATCTAAAGGAGTATAACCTTGTTTTAAATCAGGAGAGGTTAAGTGTTGGTAACAATTTATGTGTGTGTGTGTTTTAGCTTGATCAAATAGGAAGAGACTCAATTCAAGGTTATGACAAAAGGAGGGATACAAATCATGTAAGAAAGATGTTACACTAGATTAAATGGTAGAAGAAAAGCCTCAAAGAGGCTTTTCCCACACATCAAGGGCAATGGGAAGATTTTTCAGCCTCTCTAGATACTATGGTTTCATTTATAAAATGGGATTAATCCATACTAATATTGATTACTCTAATTAGAATCCTAGAATGTAACATTTGTAAAGTGGTAATAAATGTAAAATAATCTAGAGATTTTTTCCTACAGAATTGACACTAAAACTGATAGTATTCTAGGAAAATATGACACATTCTTTAAGGAAAAACGCCCATCTTAGAAAACACTTCCTAGTGGGGCGCCTGGGTGGCTCAGTCAATTAAGTGTCTAACTCTTGATGTCAGCTAACGTTGCAACCTCAGGGTCTTGAGTTCAAGCCTCAGGATGGGTTCCACACTGGGCCTGGAGCCTACTTAAAGAAAAAAAGAAAGAAAGAAAGAAAACACTACCTAGTGTGATAGGATGTAGTATCCAGACCAAATCTCCTGTTTCATTTAATCAATGTACTTTATCCTCAAGCTAAGCATATTTGATTTTTTGGAGCCAACCGCAGTTTTTAAAAATACATTTTCAGATTGGTGTTTCCTTTCCAAATGAACCAAGTTTTCATTTCCTATGCAAACTTCCAGCTGAAGGTAGGATTAGATCTCAGACTGCCACACCCAAAGTTCTTCGCGCTAGACAAGAGCAGTTAATTAGTTGTCAGGGTTCACTTGCCAGTAAAGCCTCACTCTTGAACATCTGAAGCTTTTGTGGTTAAGTTTCATCAAAGCCTTCCAGAACATAAAACAAATAGTAGTAATTTTAAGAAATACTCACTTGATCTTCAGATATAAAACATTTTGCATTTAAGTTAAAATCTCAACTCTTATTTCTGCTCCAAAGTTCTGTTAAGAATTCTTTCATATACCTACTCAACTACTTTAAAATGAAAGATTTTGGCAAACTGACATAACCCAAAGTCTCCACCCAAAAGGAACTTGGTGTTGCATTCTGGAGTTTTCTCAAGCTGCAAACTAAACCCTTAACCCCTTTGTAAAATATCACTTAAAAAAAGTTCTAATTATAGAAGTGGATGCTGAGCTGAGGAAATTGCTAATTTGAGTTGGTTATTCCTACTAAACGCAGCCACACAGCTGCAACAACAGCTGCAGCACGGGGGACACTTGGGCTTCGGATTTTGAGCAAACTCTTGAATCCGGCAAGTTTACGTTAGAAACTAAACTTAGTGCAGGAGTCAGCGCCGCGGGGCTCGGGTTTCACAGGCCAGGCTGTCGCCGAAGATCGCGGCGCCAGCGAGCGAAGTCACACTTGCTGAGCTCCAAGTTTGGGCAAAGGGACAAAGTTCGCGCCTCGGGACTTCCGGGCGTGGCCTTCGATCCCGGAGCTGGCCGTTGGGCTCGAAACCCGGGAACCCGCTAGGACACCTGCCCAGGTGAGCTCCCGGCGCTGGCGGCCCGCCGCGGAGCGCCGCTGCCCACCCAGCCGCCCTGCGGAGATGGGCCCCCGGGGATGGGCCTCACGCGCCGGATCGCGAGCACCACTCACCCTGCACAGCTGCGAAAATCCGAGCACTTCGGTAACCCCCTCGCTGCCCAGGCTGCTGCTATCAAAACCCTTCTACTCCCAGAGCCCCCTAAAACCAACACTTCCGGCCTCCGCTTAGCAAACCGGAAGGGAGCCTAGTCACCATTGTCGGCCGACAGAGTGGGCCTGACTTAATAGAAAGACGACGGGTGGGGGGAGTTGCCAGTGTGCTAGAAGGGTGCAGTTTTGAACGAGTGCACGGGAAGGAGTATAAAGCGGGCGACTCAGAACATAGAAGATTGTGTAATGGTTCGTTCGTGTAATGGTTCGACTGAGTTTCCGTCTTTTTATACCTCCTCTTTCATGTAAGCTTTTCTTCCCCCCTTTCCTGTTGGCAAATGGGTGAGCCTGCCCTGTAGGTCGGCCCCCCTCACATTCCAGGGCACGGCTAGGGGCGGGGCCCGTTTGCCCAAGTCCTTGTAGGGACATCGCAGAGAGGGCTGCGCGGCCCACGTGACCCGCCCCCGCGCGGCCCCGGAGCGTCAGGCCCTGGCCGCCGGGCGGTCGTGCGCCTGCGCGCGGGGCTCCCGCCGGGTCTGCGTCGCTGTCTGTGAGGCTTTTGGGTAGGAGGTTTTATCTCGGCGTACTGCGCGGTGTTTTGGAGAGCTCCACCCCTTCCACATTGGAGCAAACCTTCGGAAGTCCCCAGGGCCCTCAGCTAAGCGGCCACTATCTTTTTGGCCCAGACGGATTTCGTGAGGTCACGAATGATGAAGACTTACTCCCTCTTCAAAAACGTTGTTTGGTATTTTTCCCACCAGAGCCCCGCTTAACAAGGAAAGACTGGATCTGACCAGGAAGGAAGACAGGCGACCAGCAAGAGCTAACGAAATCTTGCCCCTATCTCTCACTATGATGCAGACTTGTGGCTTGGTGAAAATAGGAATAAAAAGTTGGGGCTATTTTTTTCTCAGCTCTCCTTTCCTTGGACAGCTTCTAACAATTCATCTAGTTAAAGGAAAGCCCTCCCCAGTTCTGTCCTTTTCCGTACAAAGCCTGGTGAGGAAAACTATGGTGCTGGTCACCTCAGCTCTAGTGAGCTCAACTACGAAAGGAGTGAATTGGATCCGGCAACGCTCAGATCATCCCAGCACTAATAAGGCTCAGTTCCTAGTTTGGCTCATGTGGCAAGAAGAGTTCTGACGTTTGGGGTGGCCCTATTGTCCTTTCCTCTCACTTGAATCACCCTGCTGAAAAGGAAGGTAAAAGCTGCTGAATAATACATTCTAAATATTAATAAACTATAGTTTCGAGGAGCCCAGGAGCATTTTATCTGTTAACCAAGAGCATATTCCAAAGTTAATATTGAGGTGAAATCACTGAAAAATAAATAACTGCCCTAATTCTGTAGTGTGAGTGATACAAAGATGATTAGTTTCCTCAACTGCCTTGATAATAAGAATCACTTGGGGTGCTGGTTAAAAATACAAAGTACTGGTGCCTTATCTCCAATCTAATGATTCCGAATCTTCTAGAGCAAGTCCTAGGAAGCCATCTATTTAACTGGGGTCCTAAATTAATCTGATCACGTGGGGACGCAGAACTAGACAGCTTAGGGCCTAAGACTTACACAGTGACGGGGCCAACTCCAGACGGCTTAGTGGTGGGGGACTGCAGTTTGGTTTTGGAGTTTGGCTTGGGCAGCAGTGTGAGCACCCTGCAGTGTACTCACATCTCCACCGAGTGGTGGCCTGCCACCACTGAGCTGGAGCCTTGCAACTACTGTCCTATTCTTTAATCCACAGTGAAATGGGTAGTTCAGTCTTCTCAGCTCAAAAGGAAGCAGCAGCATTCTTTTGCTTCTATACTGTCAGATAATTGCCCTTCTTTGTCTTCTTTCTTTCCACTCAATCAGTCAACAGGTATTACGCAGCAAATTCATTTCCAAGCAGTGTGGTGGTTATCGTGGTTTATGCTATTTGAACTAGGACAGAGTTGCTACCTCTGGGATCGAGGGAGAGGGAGTAGAAAGGGTTGCAAAGGCACAGGGAGTATCAGGGAACAGCTGTAAAACAGATCATTGCAGTACAATTAGGTAAGGCCTTTAGAAGGAACACAGAGAAGGAAATAAACCCGCCTGGGGATTTGTGGAAGGTGGCCCTAGAGGACTATTAAAGAGCTGATTCTAAAAGTCAGTGAAGAAGGGCACCTGGCTGGCTCAGTCTCCAGAGCATGTGACTCTTGGTCTGGGGTTATGAGTTCCAACCCCACATTGGGCATAGAGCTTACTTTTAAAAATAAATAAATAAATAAAAGAATTAAAAATTAAAATTAAAAGTTAAAAAAAATTTCAGTGGGAAAGGAGAAGAGAGATTCCAAGTAAATGGAGGAGCATGCTTGATTATCTGAAGGTGATCAGAGGAACTGGCTGATTGAAGATGAACAGGAATTGTGTGGTCAGTGTTCATTCATTCATTTATTTATTCCATAAGTAACTCTGGGTATACAAAGGTTAGCAAGCCAGTGTGGAAAATAAAAATCTTGATAAAATGTTTTTCAATTTTCCATCTAATGTATTGATAATCTAGTTTTAATTATTGGACCCACTGCCAAAGACCTATGACTCCATGATATCTCTGTCCTTCTGAGCCACATAGGAGATCTTTGCCCTTAGGTAACAATTTCCTTTTTACCTTGTAACTAGAAGTTTAGAGACTTGGGTTCTGCTTCATTTCCTTCCTTTAGCCTACTGGGTAACACTGAGGGCAGGTCCCTCAGCTGATCTGAGCCCCAATTTTCTGATTTGTAAAATGGGGATAACATCTGTCCTGCCTACTTTATAGAGTTTTGTGATTAAATGAGATAGTTATGTGAAAAGTCTTATTAAGTACAGACCAGTGGCTTTCAAACTTTTGACTGAAACTCACTGTAAGAAATTTATATCACTGGGCACCTGGGTGTCTCAGTGATTATTGGCTCAGGTCATGATCTCAGGGTGCTGGGATCGAGCCCCACATCGGGTTCCCTGCTAAGCGGGGAGCCTGCTTCTCCCTCTCCCTCTGCCACTCCCCCTGCTTGTGCTCTCTCGTGCGCTCTCTCTCTCTCAAATAAATAAATAAAATCTTTAAAAAAATAGATTTATATCACTAAGCAATACTTGAGTACCTATGATATTTTCTAAGTTTTTATTCTATTTCAATTTTATGTCATTTAACTTTTTTAAATGCTCCGTAGGACTCACTACATGTGAATTTATGATCCACTAATGCAGAGGTCCTTAACCAGGTGTAAATTGTTTCCCCGAGGAAATATTTGGCAATGTCTGGAGACTTTTTTTTTTTTTAAGATTTTATTTATTTGACAGAGAGAGACACAGCGAGAGAGGGAACACAAGCAGGGGGAGTGGGAGAGGGAGAAGAAGGCTTCCCGATGAGCAGGGAGCCCGATGCGGGGCTCGATCCCAGCACCCTGGGATCATGACCTGAGCCGAAGGCAGACACTTAATGACTGAGCCACCCAGGTGCCCCTGGAGACATTTTTTATTTTCACAGCCAGGGAGCTGCTACTGGCATCTTGTGCGTAGAGGCCAGGAATACTGCTAAACATTCCACAATGTACAGGATAGCCCCCTACAGCAGAGCATTATTTGGCCCAGAATGTCAGTTGTGCTGAGGTTGAGAAAACCTTGCATTAATGTTTCAGGAGCTCAGAGTATATAGTATTTGATTCTCGTGGGGTACTATAATTCTTAGAAAGACACTATTGCTCTTGCCGCAAGGTGAGGCTTTTTTGCGAGACCAGAGAAATCCAAAGGGAGAAAGAAAAGGAGCTCACGTTAGTACATACCTATTATGTGCTAGGTATTCTGCCTAAGCATTTTTATCATTTAGTACTTTTTTTTTTTTTTAGATTTTATTTATTTATCTGACACAGAGAGAGCACAAGAGAGACACAGAGCAAGCACAAGCAGAGGGAACGACAAGCAGGGGAGAAGCAGACTCCCCACTGAGCAGGGAGCCCGATGTGGGGCTCGATCCCAGGACCCTGGAATCATGACCTGAACTGAAGGCAGACGCTTAACCAACTGAGCCACCCCGGTGCCCCATCATTTAGTTCTTACAACAACCATGTGAGGTAGGTATTATTACCTCCGTTTCACAGATGAGAAAACTAAGCTCAAATACTTCAGTGATTTGCCAGTGTTACCCAAAGGGTAATAAGAGAACCAGGATTATAACTCATGTCTCTGTGCTTGTCTGGGGGTAGGACAGAAGGGAGGACCGGGGTCAGTATTTCTTATTCATGTATCCCTAACTTGTAGGATAGTACCTAATTATCCATGAGTGCCAGTAAATATTTGGTAATTGGTTATTTGTTCAAATGCATGTAACTGGTAAATGGCCTAACCCAAAGCCCACATTTTATTTTACAATTCTGTGCTCTCTTTGGTTCAAGAAGGGAAACTCTACCCAAACAACAGGAAGCATGGCTGAATTAACCTTTGGTATTTACTGCCGAAGTTGGTAATTTCCTAGTGATCACTTACAATTTTTATTGCATGTAAGAAATTTTTGAATGGTGAGAGACATGGCTTACATTCTGGTTTTGCCTACATAAATGGAATTCTAATCCTTTCTACACAAACTAATATGTAGCAAATTAGCATTAATCCAGGAAAACAGTAGGAGGAGCTCCTTTCTTTTAAATGAAGTTAAGGTCTTTAAATTAATCTGTATGGAAATTAGCTTTAAAGCTCCAAAACTACAAATAAGTGTATTAAGAGGGTTTAGAAATTTCTACATAAAGAATTCCTTTAGGGGCGCCTGGGTGGCTCAGTTGGTTAAGCGACTGCCTTCGGCTCAGGTCATGATCCTGGAGTCCCTGGATCGAGTCCCGCGTCGGGCTCCCTGCTTGGCGGGGAGTCTGCTTCTCCCTCTGACCCTCCCCCCTCTCATGTGCTCTCTCTCTCTCATTCTCTCGGTCTCAAATAAATAAATAAATAAATAAATAAATAAAAGAATTCCTTTAAAAAATAATTACAATTACTTTAAAATTCAGGAATGATATACAAGATGAAATAATGTGGAATTGAATTAAGAATATTTAGTGGGTGGGGTCCCTGGGTGGCTCAGTCAGTTAAGCAACTGACTCTTGGTTTAGGCTCAGGTCATGATCTCCGGGTCCTGGGATTGAGCCCCATGTCCGACCCCAAGATCAGCTGGGAGCTTGCTCAAGAATTCTCTCTACCTGTCTCCCTTTGCTCCTTCTCCTGCTTGCAAGCTCTCTCTCTCTCAGATAAATAAATAAATCTTTTAAAAAAAAGGAATATTTGGGAGAAGTTATTACTTCCATACTAATAAATTTGAAAAAAAGATAAATGCTTAGGAAAATTAAAATACTAAACAGGATTCCAGAAAAGAATATGAATAAACCAAACCAAGAGAAGAAGTAAGAATTACCTAAAAAATAATTTACCTGACCCTGATAATTATTAAAGAAATGCTTCTCCAATGATTAAGACAAATATCAAGATCACAAACTGTTATTAAATATGTACCCTATGATACTACTAATAATTTGTTAATGAATGAATATAGTGACCAAATTACATTTGCTGAGTTAATCTTGTGAGGCAGATTTTTTATTAAATACTCCCAAATAAAACAAATACCTAAAGCAGAAATTATGGCTTAGGCTTACTTCAGTCAATTCTCTGGTTTTCTCATCTGGAAAAGGGCGTAATGATATCATCTACTTTAGTCATCCATTGTGTGCATTAGGTGAAATAGTCCATATAAACTTCTCAGAGAAATATCAACTTTAGTTGTGTTAAGGCACTGAAATTTGGAGTTTGTAGAGTAGTTATTCTGCCCTGACTAATATACCAATGCTTTGTCTACTCAACTGGAGGAAACATGCTGAATGGTCACAGTTTAATGACCAAAGACCTCAAGTGGGCCCTTGATGTTACCATGATGCTCCTGCAATCATAGATGTCAGTTTTATAATTTTTTTCTCCTAGCACCTCCAACACCTTTTCTCCCATCCTTGCTCTCAGTTGAGGACCTTATTTCTAAGTCATTGAGAAAAAACGGAGACTCCCACAAGCTGTCACCACCACATCTACCTACTGACCAGCATCTGTCCCCATATGTTGTCTTTTCCCTTTTCTTCTGTTAAATAGGGGAAGTACCCTCCTTGCTCCTGTGGAAACCAGTTCCTCCATTTGCTAATTTATGTTACTCCAATGATTCTACCTTGTCCTGCATCACCAAGTTTTCTCTCTCTTTCTCTCTTTTGGATTAGTCCCATCAATAGGTATGCAGTAATGTATCCTGTATGTAGCAGATAGAATCGTGGTTCCCCAAAGATGTCCATGTCCTAATCTCCAGAACCTGTGACTGTGTTAGGTTACATGGCAAAGGGGAATTAAAGTTGCAGATGAAATTAAGGTTACTAATGAGCTGACCTTAAAATAGGAAGATGTCAATGTGAGTGACATCATAGCTGGAAAAGAAAGAAAACAGATTCTCCCCTAGAGCCTTTAGAAGGGAACATAGTCTTGCTGACATCTTCATTTTAGCCCAGTGAGATCCAAATTGCAATTTTAATGATAGAACTGTAAGATAACTAAATTATGTTGTTTTAAACCATTAGATTTGTGGTAATTTGTTACAGCAGCAATAGGAAATTAATATATTACAAACAACAACAACAACAACAACAAACCCTCTTCCTGGTGTATTTTCCTCCTCCAGCTATTGTCCTGTTTCTTTGTTGCACTTTATAAAACTCCTTAAAAGAGTCACCTAGCTCCAATTCTCTCTTAAACCCTCTATAATAAGGCTTTTTTTACCCAGCCACTTCACTGACCATGTGCTTATCAAGGTCACCAAATGACCATGTCATCATGGCCAATTCTCAGTCTTCAAACAGATTTGACAACCTCACCTTTGAAACACTTTCTCTCTCCTTTCTAGGGTGTCTCACTCTCCTGGTTTTCCTGGTTCCTATGGCACATTCCTTATGGCTACTCTTCAGTTTCCTTTGCCAGTTCCTCCTAATTTCCTCAGTCCCTTGGAGTGGTTCAGGATTCAGTGTTTGTCTCTCCTCTCTTTTCTGTCAACACTCCTTCCCTAGCTGATCTCATCCATTTTCATGGCTTAAAATACTACTGAGACACTGATTATTCTCAAGTATGTATCTTGGCCAAGACCTCTGCTCTGGACTCCAGACTCATGATATAGTCACTTGACATCTCCACAAGGAGAAACCTTGGCATTTAAACCTTCAGACCCCCAAACTGATCTTCTGACCTTACCTGTAAAACCTGCTCTTCCTGACATTTTCTCCACATAGGTTAATGGCAATTTCATCCTTTAAGTTGCTCAGGCCAAAAAACTTGGACTCATCTTTGCCACCTCTTTTCCTGTCCTGACCCTCATCCAACCTTTCAGTCAAACCATCTCCAGGGTCTAGAACAGCAGTTAACCAAACCTATTGGTTAAGTCCTTCAAAACATATCAATCTGACTATGTCCCATCACCCCTACAGCTACTATCCTAATACAAGGTATCAGGCCTGGATTTTAGCCTTTTAACTGGTCTCCATACTTCCATGTTCCCCTAAATTCTAGTCCCACAGACACAGACTGATCCTTCTAAAAAGAGATTAGATCATATCATTGTTCTGCTCAACACTGTCCAATGGTGTCTCAACTCAGAGTGAAAGTCAAATGCCTGTAAGCCCCCAAAACATCAGACTGGGTGAACTTTCACCAATTGCTCAACCATATTGATCAGGCTGTTCCTTGAAGAAGGAATTTTTCCTGTCCTTTTGATTTCTTTCTTCTAATGTTTTCATTGCTTTCTCCCTCAGCTCTCTTGAGTCTTCACTTAATTATCATCATCTCAGTAATGCCTTCTCTGCTCATGTAAGATTTCATCATTCATCTTCCACCTCCAGCATTCTCTTCTCTTACTTTATTTTTTCCACTGCATTTATTATCTCTGACATACAATATACTTTTTTTGCTTACTGCTTATTTTTCATACTAAATTCTATGAAGACAAGGTTTGGGGGATTGTTTTGTTTACTGAAGTATCCCCAAGGCCCAGGACATTAATTAGCACATTACAGGCACACACTAAATAAAAATACATATTGAATGAATGAAGAACTGGAAGGTAGGGTATGAGGGGGAAATGGCAAAAATATGAGGACTAAGAGGGGCAGAGCAAGATGGTGGAGGAGTAGAAGACCTGGATTTCATCTGGTCTCAGGAATTCAGCTGGATAGGGATCAAACCATTCTGAACACCTACAAACTCAACAGGAGATCGAAGAAAAGAATAGCAACAACTCTCTGAACAGAAAAGCGACCACTTTCTGGAAGGTAGGACGTGCGGAGAAGTGAATCCAAGGCGATATTCAGGAGGATAGATGGCGGGGGAGGGGACCTCCGTCGGCCGCTTCTGGCAAGTGATAGAGTTGCGGAGCACAAAGTTGGAACTTTTAGAAGTCGGCTCTGCTGAGGGACGTCGCTCCGGTGGCTAAGCGGGGGGTGGAACCCTCATGGGACAGTGTGGTCTCAGGACCCTCGGGGTCACAGAAAGACCGGGGGTGCCTGAGTGCAGCAGAGCTCCCAGGTATCCGAGTGGGGAAGCCGGCTGCAGAGATGGAGCCAAGGTGCGGGCTCTCAGCTCGGGGTTGCCATAAACCATGATCCGCGGCACAGTCGGGCCACTGCTTCTCCAGCAGGGACCCAACAAGCAGGAGATCCGGGGAGACTCACCTTCCTTCCCTGGCAGGAGCGGTGTGGGAGTGCACCACAGGGATCTGCTGGGTTTGGAGACTCCACACGAGGTTCTGTTCCAGAGATAGAAACCCTCGGTCACAGGCCGGGTGAGCACAGAGTGTGGCCGGAGACTGGGGAGACAGGAGTGACTGACTGTTTTTCTCTGGGGGCACACTGAGGAGTGGGGCCCCAAGTTCTCGATTCCTCTGGCTCTTCCGGGGTGGAGATTGGGAGGCCGACATTTTCACTCTCAGCCTCCAAAGCTGTACGGAAAGCTTGCCGGGAACAAAAGCTCCCAAGAGCAAACCCAAGCAGATTACCTAGCCTGGACCAGGCAAG